GCCATGGATGGCATTGTGGGCACCGCGCCGCCTGGCACCATGTATGTGCGAGCTTTATACGATTACGAGGCAGACGACAGAACAAGCTTGAGTTTCCACGAAGGCGATGTTATTCAGGTCATTACTCAACTGGAAAGTGGCTGGTGGGACGGTGTCATCAATGGGGTCCGCGGTTGGTTCCCAAGCAACTACTGCCAAATTGTTGCGAGCCCCGAGGACTTGCCAGAACACGGCCACAACGGCCCTACAGACCAGGTTGTCGACGAACCCGACGAACCAGAGGGCTTCGATGAGAGCTTCGACCAAGATGACGATTCCGAAGCAGAAGATCCCGCTGGACTGCCGCTGGAAGGCACCGATGCTGGGGACAAATCAAGAGCCGACTTTTGGATCCCGCAGGCCACTCCTGACGGACGGCTCTTCTATTATAACATGATGACCGGCGATAGGAGTATGGAGCTACCTCTGGAATCACCCTTGTCTTCAACCGAAACTGGTCCTAGGGATCGGGCCAACGTTAACATTCCAGATAAAACGAGACCTCCGCCCGAGATGATGGCGCGCGGACTGACCCAAGACGAAGACGACGACTCAGCAACCTCTGCCTCCGAAGCCGAAGGCGAGTCCTTAATGTTCGCCTCTCGAGGTTATATGGTATGGACCCATGGAGCACACGTTGACGTACATTCTATACCCCACCGCGCATCTGGTCACTAATCGTCAAATAGGGGAGAGATCGAGCTTCCACGAGCGGCGTCTTGTCACCTTCTACCTCTATGGACTCGATAAACGGTGCATCTCCAAACCGACGGAAAAGAAGCGATGGGCAGCCCAACGGCAAGCAGGGCTCTTTACAGCCCCCGAATATGGCCTCAGCCACTTCCTTTACCAGCACAACATATAACCTGCCAACAACTGCAACTGTTCCACGTTCCTTTTTTGACGACGGGTCTACACCCCCTTTAACGTGGAGCCTGCTAGTTTCCAACATGAAGCGTGCAATCGACCGATACCGCGAGGCAATTACGAAAAATTGCCGATCAGAATATGTTGCGAGAGCTGAAGATATCTCGGATCATTTGCGACTTTTGCTCGCGGCCGGCTCTGGTACAACAGACAATCACTCTGGTCAGCCGTCCATCATTTCGACTAATAAGGCGCTGTATCCTCATTTTCGAGACATGATGTCAAAGTTCTCGAAGCTTGTCATATCGTCACACATTGCTGCCGCCGATTGGCCAAATGCCGAGTCCGTCCAAAAGTGTCTACAAGAAGCAGATGGCGTTCTTCTTGGAGTATTCAGTTATGTTGAAGTAGCTCGACAACAACGTGGGGAAGAAATACCCCGTCTGTTCCCCGGCTTCGTCATTGGCAGTACCGTTGGAGGTAGTTGGCAGAACAATGGTTTGGGGCCAAGAGATCCCATCACAGCAAATTTCCTGGAAGATGAGGAGGGCCTAGTGGAGCCGTCGGCAATTCTGAACGGTAGACTCCTCGAAAGATTAGACGAACAGAAACGCATATTGGTGTCGAGCATTCGCGAGCTGGATAAGAGTCTGATCACTCCCGAAAAGATTGTTACGTCCCTTCGTCATGAGGCTGTGGGCAACAATGTATGCTCTGCAGGCGGCAAGGTTGTCGAAACCTTCAAAATGTGGATTGCCATGATTGAATCTATTGATCTTTCTTCGCTGGGAAGCAGCTTCCAAACTCCTCAGCTGGGCGATTTTGGTATCAATAAACAAAGCCTATACGACAATATTTCGGACTTGATTCTTGGCTGCCAGGCAGTTGCCGGACCGTTGGCAGATGAGTGGAACGAGGTGCGGGGCGAATCTCTTGAAAATCGTCTCGAATATGTGCGCCAGTGTGCTAGAGCACTGGAAACGAATTCATCTCATATTGGATTTTCCTTGCAACTTCTCTCAGAGCAAGTTCAGGTAAACCCGCAGCTTCCACAGCATACCGAGTCTCGTACGCGAGAAGACTCGGTCTCACGAGCAACATTGCAACGGGGCGAAACTTTGCCATATGAACGATCTCATCAGCGGTCGGAGTCGAGATCTGCCCCTGGCCGGCCGTCCCTGTTACCGGGACAATCCTTTGGTGAAGGCGACCCCCCAGCTGGCAATTTCAGAAAGGGAGACTACTCCAAAGTCAAGAAGATATTTGGGGAGGACCCGTCGCCGCAAACTGGCATGCAGGCTAGCGATGATACCCCTGACTTCTTACGGCTTGATTACGAAAACGATGTGTCATGGGATACCAAGAGTGCGTCGCCTACGGTAAAGGGAGGTTCTCTTCTTGCACTAGTTGAACAGCTCACCCGCCACGATAAGTTAGACTCGAGTTTTAACAACACATTTCTTCTCACCTATCGGTCCTTTACTTCAGCGCGAGAGCTGTTTGAGCTATTAGTTAAACGGTTTGGCATACAGCCACCAGATGGTCTCAGCCAATCAGACTTTGAATCCTGGCGTGATAGGAAGCAAAAGCTGATTCGTTTTCGTGTTGTGAATATCCTCAAGAGCTGGTTTGATAGCTTTTGGATGGAGGAGCAGAACGATGAATCTAGACAGTTGATTCGCGATGTTTACACTTTTGCAAGAGACACCGTCAAATCCACAGAGACCCCAGGGTCAGGCCCTCTAATGGCTGTCTTGGACCAGCGACTAAGTGGGAAAGAAGCCGGTGCTCGTCGAATGATCCAAACACTGAACCAAAGCACGCCAACGCCCATTGTTCCAAAGAATATGAAGAAACTGAAGTTTTTGGATATTGATGTCACAGAGTTTGCTCGCCAGCTGACCATTATCGAGTCGAGGCTTTATGGCAAGATCAAGGCTGCAGAATGCCTGAACAAGACCTGGCAAAAGAAGGTTGCGGAAGGTGAACCTGATCTGGCACCCAACGTAAAGGCATTGATTCTCCACTCCAATCAAATGACCAACTGGGTTGCGGAGATGATTCTTGCCCAGATGGATGTGAAGAAACGAGTTGTCGTGATCAAGCACTTTGTCGCGGTAGCAGATGTATGTTTCACTACGTTGTTTCCATACTTTTCAAGTTATTTTTGGGCCCCCATCTCCTGCTTACCTGCTAACCTGAAATACAGAAATGCCGGAGTCTCAACAATTTCTCTACCCTGACTTCCATCATCTCAGCCCTTGGAACAGCGCCGATTGCTCGACTAAAGCGGACTTGGGACCAAGTGCCCCAGAAAACACAAGGAGTCCTGGAAACTATGCGCCGGGTAATGGCTAGCACCAAGAATTTTGGCGAGTATCGCGAGGCTCTTCATGCAGCTAATCCGCCATGTATCCCTTTTTTTGGTATGTATAGAAACCAGACCTGCTTTTGAGTTCTCACTAATGCATTGATTAGGCGTCTATTTAACCGATCTCACTTTTATTGAGGATGGCATTCCCTCCATCATTAAGAAGACGAACTTGATCAATTTTGCAAAACGCGCAAAGACTGCAGAAGTAATCCGGGACATCCAACAATACCAAAATGTGGGATACTCTTTGCAGCCTGTCCCCGAGCTGCAAGATTATATATTAAGTAACATGCAAGCTGCCGGCGACGTACATGAAATGTACGACAAGAGTTTGCATGTGGAACCAAGAGAGCGAGAAGACGAAAAGATTGTGAGGTACGTACGTCGCACAGCGGGCGTAGCCGCCATGGTATCTGGCATGGAGATGCTTTCTGGCGCGGCTTTTGAGAAAATGTCATCATCAGTCTCGCCTACCCGTTAATGCCTGGCAAGTTCTCGCCATCACTGTTCCCTTTCTAAAAGAACGGTTTTTTTTTTGGAAAAAAAAAAGAAAATTGAACATGTGACTGACTATTATATTTTTACTACTACAGGGTCTTAGCTGAATCCGGGTTTCTTTAAGTTACAACGACATGAGATAATGAACCTAGTCAACGAACCGAACCATTCAACTAGTCTACTCAACCAAGTTGAATGAAAAGAATTTAATGCACACCTCATCTATAACACAAGAGTGCTATCACCACGCACACGAAACACTTCGCAGAGATACCGATCAAACGGCGCAGGGGAGTTCTAGCAGAAATTTGGGCAGATGGCCCGATCAATTGAAGATGTAGTAGCAGCCGAATCGTGTCTCGATAGGGACAGTCAAGGCCCCGCGTCTACACTTGGTCTTCAGCTCCAGTTGACTCTGCTTCCCTCGTCTTGTGGATTTGCAATGTGGTGTGGATGGCTGGGACGCGTGATCATCCTGGCATAGCTGCAAGAACTCCAACTAGTTTACTTGGTCAGCTTTCCCAAGGGGCACGGCCAGCGCCTAAATTCTTAGCCTATCAGTGGCTAAATCTATATCAAGATAGATTGGGGCAGTACTTTTTAGGACCGACAATGTCCCTGTTGACTTTGCTCTGATGCCCCGAATTCACTGGTGAATGGGCTAATCAGATCGGAATGCTGTTTTCTATTGATGCAGCGCCACGGTCAGCGTTCCGCCGCTATGTTCTGAGATGATGCTTGTGTGCAGGCTGGAGTTCTGCATATTTGGAGACATGAGGACTTTTTTTAGGGGAGGGGGGGTTGAACTCTTGGTGAGACAAGCTAGCTTGTATTTCGATTCTTGTCCGGTCGACTTGAGTATTGCTGGCAATGAATGCGGCCGATGTGTCCTGATGTATTTAGATAAGAGCAATGACTGTGGCGATAATATGGCATACTAAAACAATGTACATGGGGCATTTGTAAACTTATTCATACAATATCATTGTTTTCGTGGCTACCGTGACATCGAATCACTGCATGGTATGGGGTATGGATCTAGAAGCGCATGATACTTGAAAGTTTGTTTGGTAAGCTAATAAAGGGGCAAGGGGATGAAAGAATTCCTCGTTTAATGACCAGCCAGCCGATCCCAAGAAGTAGCAATAAAACACATGTTCCTGTTTGTATCACACAGCCTCTCCCACCTTGCTAAAGTAAACTTTCTGCAACATGGTTCCTATCAAGACTTGTGGATGTGCAGCTTGTCCTTGATCTTTTCTTTAAGGGATGGCTTTCCATCCTTGCCGCCGCTTCCAGATGAAGACGAACCAGGCTTGGGATGGTCCATACCACCTTGGCGGTCGACTCGCTTCTCCTCCATGAGACCTGAGCCGGGAACAATATTGTGTCAGCGCGAAATGGGTTGAGCTTGGCGGATTGGGAGTTGTGAATTTTCAATTTCATAGGGGCTTCAATCTGCATGACTCGACTGGAAATTGGGAATGGCAGTGTATGTGGGTGAACTGGGCAAGACTTACGGTCAGCCTCTCTCCCTGCGCCGGGATTTGTCGCGTCAAAGTTTCCGCCGTCTGCAGCGAGACCTGTGGTCTTGACGTATTGTTCGCCCGTTCCTTTGCTTTCAGAGCTCTCGTCCTCCGCGTGGCCGGCGGTGGCGGCGTCGCTTTTTGCGGATGTAGATTCGGATCCGGTTTGAGTGTTGCCAGCGTCACCGCCGTTCTCTTTGGCAATGGCCGCGAGGGGCCTGGGGCCGTCATCTGCCTGAATGGCTTTCTCGTCGCCCTTTTGGACTGGATCGTCGTTGGGCTTGCGGGTGGTGCTCTCTGCAGACTCTGATTTCGAACTGAGGGCTTCCGTTTGTTTCTTACTGTCTTGCGTCTCTTTCAAGGACTCGTCTTCTTCTGTGGCAAACTTTGAGTCTCTCCTCTCCTGGTCTCTGGGGTCTGCAATCACATCAACTTAGGATGCCTTTCTTCGCTATTACAACCTTTTTTACGTTGGTCGTGGGTCACTTACCAATATTGCCACCGTCGTATGGCTCGCCCTTTGATACGTCTCCTTGAACGCCGGAAGCAGGCTCGTCATGCTCTGTGCCATCTCCCCATACAGCTTTCGCAGCGGTTTGTGCCATGTGGCTGATGGTTTCCATGGCGGCTTCGGGATTTGCGAACACTCTGCGATGCAAGTTTTTGGCACGAGAGTGTGTGGGAGAATTTGCTTCGGCTGTAAGAGGTAAAGGTTCAAAGTAAGACACGTACTTGACACGTCAAAGAGGCATGTAGGTAAGTTTGGAGCGTTGACAAATCGAAGGGGTTATTGTTGCTGGAGGGCGTTGGATCAAGGATAGCCTTCATTAGCGGGCTATTTATGACAATTTGGGGATTTACACTTGGTTACACAAACAATGTGCTACAAATCATAACTAGAACCAGCAGCAGGGTTTTCTCTGACGTCGTAGCAGTACGAAAGGGAGATGCGATATGGCGTATGGTGTATCAGGGTGAGCAATAATTGGTCCAATTTAGTGGCCATCCTTGCCTCTTTCCCTTTGCTTCAGACAGCAGCCGCCAGTCTGAGGGTCCCTTTGGTGGAAACCTTGCGCAGCAAGCAGGATTTCAGAGTTCCCCTTTGGTTTTGTTCTGATTAGTAGTCGTAGCCAGCCGGGAGCGGCAAGCTTTTGGAAGAGAGCCGACAAGGCCGAGAGGTGGCCGCGTCTGTGTGCCCGATTCTGAACGAGTTTATGTCATTCCAGTCCCGTTGGTCTCGGGCGTCAGCCACAAGGCGATTCGATGGAGCCATGGTTATGACGATGTTGTCGATCGGTGCGGGATGGTGTGTTGACGTCGGATAATAAAAGCACTAGGCCTTGCTTGCATGGATGACGTATGACGTCTTGCCAGCAATCGTATCGTTGGATGCGTGTGGCGCCTGGGGCCCATGTGACGGAGGAGGTACCAGCAGGGTTTAGTGCCATCAAATTGGTTCCACCTGAGCGACAAGAACATTGAACATCAAAGGAGGAGGAAGGCAGCGACGGGGACGACTGCCAGGCTGCAGGCGACTTTCAGCTCCCAAGGAAGATCTTCCTGAACCACGTGGAATTCGAAACAGAGAATGACGTTGAGCCCCGTCTACTTCCAGGTCAGGGCAAAGAAGGTAGGTTGCGCTGTAACCTAATGTGCCCAAGTAGCTCGCCCCGACGAAGAGGAACATAGTATAACCAAATGGTGTCTACAGGGAAATCAACGTAGCAGGTCAGGGTGAGCCATAGTGTTGAGTGAAGCGACATTCCAAGCCTCAGAGTAGCCGGCTATGTATACCTGGTTCATGAACTAGAATTCGGCTATATCTAGTTGGTTCCGAGGGTCTGTCATAAGGAGGACGACCATCCCTGGCAAGAGTGACGGTGCCAACATAGGCTTGCTCCAGTCATAATGTTAGGCCAAGAGTAATCTACTAGAGTCTGGTGTTATTCTATCAAGGTCAAAGTAGAGCGGGCCAATCTCGCGACCAATCCCAGCGGGTTGCTTCTACGTAGTTCTATCATCTCTGTTGAACAGGCGAACACTATTCTTGCGGAGTACAACGGTCATTGGGAAAACGTAAATAGCGTTAGCCGTTGACTCTGTGCTCGGGCTCGAAACGTAGGTCTCGCCAAATAGTGTTACATGTGTCGCCCTATACGAGGTCCGTATTTTGCCACTCTCGACGGCGGTCATCCCCAGATTCAATCGCCCAATATGCATCGTAGTCTGGCCGCTTTTCAGAAGGCGTTCATAATCAGATAATCAAGTAGGAGGTAACTCGGATCCGCAGTCTGGACGCATCACCCCATAGGTCCTTGAGAATGAATTGGGGTTCAAATGTCGGGGGCAACGGCTGGCCAGTCAGTCAACTGGCTCCAAGTCAACTGACCCCCCCCCCACTGGCTGGTCTATCCCTGCTGCCACGCGCTCTGCCCCAACACTGAACACTTGAACCGCCAACTGATGCGTGCAGTTCAACTAGCTGCCTGCTCGTGGCCTCAAGTCTGCAAATCACTGGTGCACATCCTGACCCTCGGGCTTAGGGACGTGGACATGGACGTCCGCCATCGTCCACCCCGATATCCAGACCTCGAGTCGGACTCTGTCAATCCGAGGTCCGTAGTCCGTACGGCGTACTCCGTACACGCGGCCATCTCACTCAGCCCTGCGACCATGAATCGAAGCGCAGAGTGAACGCTTGCTCGCAGCTCACACTACGTGGGCACGCACACCTTGGTTTCTGCATTTCTGTGGACATCGAATCGTCCTCCAAGTAACCGCGCAGTCGTCATCGCTTGTAAACTCGAAAGCCTTCCGAGCATCCCCCGACTAAAGAGTATGCGATTCTTGGGCCTCGTTTTACCTGTCCTCAACCTCTGTCTCGCAGCCCGCCAAAGCCCCCTACCGCCTCTCCATGTTGAACCCTCGGGAGGGCGAACATGGACTGCAGTTAGTCATGGTCAACGACCGCGGCAACATATCCTGAACCCTCCTGCGTGTACGTGCCCATCTTCTTTTACAGCCATAAACAAACCAAATGTCCTTACACTCAACTGACTTTTGACTTGCCCAGTGGTCTCTGTGGAGGAACACGACATCAACTTTCCGCATCGCCCGTTCCGGCCTGCCTCTGGCTTTATTGCCCTTGGCGACTCCTACTCAGCGGGTATAGGCACTGGGTTCAACGGAACAGAAAACAACTGCCGTCAAGGTCTGCATGCTTATCCGGTTCTGGTCCATAGAGATCTCAACCGCGCTCGTGGCCATCATGATAATGCAACGGAGATGCAGTTTCTTTCCTGTACGGGCTCTACAATTGGCGACATGCTCGCGGGGTCCGACCATAGCCAGATCGATGGCCTAAATGCTACGACAGATGCAGACTTTGCGCTTCTGTCCATTGGTGGCAATGATCTTGGCTTCTTCAACATCATGAATAGCTGCATCTTTCGCTTTTATAGCTTTTACTCAGGAACCTGCGAAGATGCCTTACGCAATTCTGAAGAAGCCCTTAACGGTCCCGAGTTTGAACATGACCTTCGTTTGGCCATTATGGAAATCCTCGACCGTGTACAGTGGGAGAAGAGGCCCTGGTTTACCATTACGGTCTCGGGGTACGCTCGCTTCTTCAACGAGGATACCGAGGACTGCGATGAACGGTCCTTTGGAGTGTGGTGGCGCGGGCCCAAATTGAAACGCAAACTTCGCCGCAGGATGAACAAGATGGTCCTTTCAGTAAACGACAAGATTAGACGCTCAATTTCTGCTATAAACGCCGACTTCATAGAACCCAGGGTCATGTTTGTGGACTACGACGATGCTTTCGAAGGGCATCGTTTCTGCGAACGCAACGCTACTGAACCAGATTATTCCAGAAACGAAACATGGTTTTTCCTTGTCGGAGGCAAAGACAACCACCATGGCTTCCAAAGTCAACTGACAGGGTCCGACCATAGCGAACTACTTCCCCGGAGCTCACCACTGATAAATCCAGATACGTGTTTGAACCCTGCTGAGAAATCAGGCGATTGGGGTGAGTTGGCCTTATGCTTGATGGCCAAAGCTGCGAAAGAAGATCCTTCCCTTCGAACTAGCCAAGGAGAAATCATTGCCCAAAACTCTATGTGGTATGTGCCTACATATTATGGCAAAACGTTTCACCCTGTAAGTGCTGCAAATACCTTTCATGGCGTTGGCCTAGCAGTGTGCAATGACTTACACTGTCTTCTATTTATGTGAGCTGACATTGATTTTCGCCTTGAACAGCGGACGTTGGGACACATGGCAATTCGTAACCGCATATACAGGCTGTGGAGTGGAATGAGCCCAGACACTTAGATGCAGGTCTTGGCTTGAATGTTGTTCTTGTTCTTGCATAGCTGTCCTTCTAACGAAGCTTCTCATGCCACCAAATTGCATGTCAGATAAGAACGGAAAGATGTACAAGGAAATGAAATGAAATGATGTGAAACGAGAGAAAGCCATCCAAGGGCATAACTTGGTGTATGGCGTTTCTTGAATACTTAATTATTGAAAAATTTATACAAAATTGCTTCACATGAGGGGCGAGACGTAGGTCTGGTTTTGTGCAAGGACCCATGTATTAAATGTAAAGTGTAATGTTATGGATCCCGGTATTATTTGGATGCTTCAGCGCACGGTGTGAACGGGTCGACGGAGGGTGGGTCATTGAATCCGGGGTTAGCATTGCGTTTCGGACTATTGATTTCCCTCTTCCGAACAGCGAGTCTCGTGCGTCGCGCGACATGTTGGGTTGGACTAGTACTAGATGTCCATGCGTTGCCCGATTGCTACGTCGTGCGTCCTGCGTCGTGTATTCCATGACTATTATATTTCTTTGTATCATTCGTAAGGCGTTGCGCCGTGGATGACATAGTCGCAAATTCCTTGGGTGAAGTCACCGACATACCAGCAGTGTTAAGCAGCTGCTTGGTTACGAGAAGGGCAAATCGACATGGCGCCCGACGCCGAACCTCGCAAAGGCAAGCCAGGCTGTTGTTCCAGACCATCCAAATAGCCGCTAACTATAATGCTTAGCTGATGACCCAATCAACAAAGTCGTTTTGAAGAAGGAAAGCAAATCAGGCACCATAAAGCTGAAGAAGCCGCCCCCGAAGCACAACAAGCCAGGAAACTGGAGGGACGGTAGTGTTGTCGAAGGTACGTTAACCGCACACCTACGGTAACATTGAGCTGCCTCTCATGTGACACTATTAGATGAGAAAAAGAAAGCTGTGAGCTCCCCTTCGACCTCCGTGGCTTCTCCTGGCCCAGTCGTGAACCAACTAGACGACACCGCTCGAGAGACCTTTGCGACAGGACGGCCTCTGGAGGATAGCCCAGATCTCCAGCAATGCAAGCACTGCAAGAAAAGTATTTTAAAGACTGCAGCCAAGGCCCATATTGCGCAATGCCTGAAGCTGAAAAAGGAGAAGGCGCAGAGGAAGAAGGAAGCGCGAGAGGCACGAGAGAGGGCTAAAGCCAGGGAGGAAGAAGCTAGAAAGGCTGATGAAGAAAATGGAGAAGATGAAAGTGACGACGACGATAAAAAAGGAAATGTGGCGGGTAAGAAAGCAGGCAAGAAGCCCGAGGATGAGAAGAAGGGCAGCAAAAAACGGAAAGCCGACGGCGAGCCAGATAAAGGGCCGAAGGCGAAAAAGAAGAAGGACGAGCCTAAAGCCAAGGCTCCAAAGCCTAAAGGTACGAAAGTATCAATCTTTGCTATGGGCGATGAGTATAATCTGGTTGGCTAACGAGGAATGGAATATCAGGACCGGTTGATGTTGAAAGGCAGTGTGGTGTCATACTGCCCAACGGGCAACCATGCGCTCGATCGCTTACATGCAAGAGCCACTCCATGGGGGCAAAACGTGCTGTTGCAGGCCGTTCTCTTCCGTACGATATGCTTTTGGCAGCATACCAGAAGAAAAATCAAGCAAAACAACAAAGTGAGCTTCCTAACCCCTCTAGAGACCCGGCGCATTCGCGCTCCTTCATTTATAATGTCGACTACTAATCACATTTTTCTCCTCCCTTGCAGAGGCTGCTCTTGATGCGAACGCCCCCGTTGAGGACGAGGATGACGCGAACAACGGTCCTGTTGACTCTGACGAGGAAACCGGAGCCGTAATGAGCGCCTTGTCCCACTGGCATCCCCAACCGCTTATTCCACAACCTGTTTTCACTCCAATCAAACGACAATATCAGCTCTCTAGACTTCATGAACAACTACAACTAGCAACGAATGGAGGTCGTACCAACATTTTTCATGTGGTAGGATACGGCGCTCAAAAACTCCCGGAAGGACACCCCGGACTTGTTGAAGGGGAAGATGCACCAGGCGAGCCAGACATTGGTGCCTTGGGCTTTCCTGCTTCTGCCAGATCATCGAATTTTGGTGCTGCAACCGTGTCACAGAGACGGTCATCAGTAACAAGCCGCGGTTGAAATACGTCGGGCGTGTTCTTCGTCCTGGAGAATCTTGAGCTAGCCTTGTACTCTTATCTTTGGGCCTGGCTTGACTACGTTGGTTAGGACGACGCTTTTTTATATTTAGATATGCGGATGAACTTACTTTCGCGTAAGTTTTGGAAGCGGAAGTGCGGATTTGGAAGGATTCTATTTCTTTTTCTGTGTTACTTTTTTTTTAATGGGCAAGTTTGGAGTGGCGCCACTTCTTTCAGTTTTACTTTTGTTTTAGATACCAACGGGGATGGCGTTTTGACACGGAAGCATAATGATTTCACGACTGGGAATTGGATGTTTGGCTTGTTTCCCAGACAATGGTATGGACAGCGACAGAATACAAACGGATATCAGCATACAGGGGCTATTTTTTGGCTTGCGGGCTCTTTGGGCGGTGGCTTTGTAGTGATAACGCATGACATCATGCAGGCATTGCACCAGAAACCTGAATTACATTACGTGGCTAAGCACGCAACATTGTTGAGACGTCGTACGTGGTAACATTCATATTCAGATAATAGGCAACTACTATGTAGCCTGTATGCGTCGTCCATTATAATGTGGTTAGCCGAGGCCATCATGTGTGGGAAACTGATGGAGTTGCCGTTGATCATTTTGGTCAAGCACCGCCCAGAAGTACGTACCCAAGTATATGACGTCAATTGTCCAGATAAACCGTCGGCTGAGCTTCCTCTGCACAAGAAGACATCATTTGACAGGAAATGCTTTCAACCTCGGCTCTCATACTATTCTAAAGTCAACAGCACCCCGTTCAGGACTTTTTTGTTTACAACATAATCTTTGCGTCACTTTCGACTTTGGGTGCACCCGACACAGCCAACGCATTGATTTGCACTTACAAGCTGCAGCTTGCAAACAGCCGCCTACTTGACCATTTCCATCTGCCGGCCTGTCTGAGCCAGAACATGCCTTCTAACGCGGCACTCGACGCCCTGGGCCATGCTATATCTGGCTCAATAGGCACTGGGGTCTCGACCGCTGCCGTTTTCCCTCTTGACCTCGTCACAACGCGATTGAAAGCGCAACGCCAGATGAAGAGCTCAGACCACTATGACGGAGTAATTGACGGCCTAAAGGTCATTGCCTCACATGAAGGTGGCATCGCAGCCCTCTACAACGGGTTGGGGCTCGATATTGGTAAATCCTTGGTGGACAGCTTTCTCTTCTTTGGCTTCTATACCTATTTACGCCAACAGATTCGCCATCCACGTGTAATACAAGAGCTCGCCATGGGAGCGCTCGCTGGTGCGTGCTCCAGAGCAATTACGACTCCCATCTCAAACGTAGTCACCCGGATGCAGATGCATCCAGATACAGAGTCATTGAGCCAGGCACTGGCTGACATCAAGAAGGAGAGTGGTATCTCCGGCTTGTGGTCTGGTTATTCCGCCACTCTGATCCTCACCATGAACCCCAGCATTACATTCTTCATCAATCGCCGGCTTGCGAAGCGTATTATTCCTGCCTTGGAGGAGGAAGATGTGCCGGTTGCGTGGATTGCCTTTCTTCTGGCGGCATTCAGCAAATCAACTGCTACCATTTTAACCTATCCATTTCAAACGGGACGAACTCGACTGCAGATGCCGACTGACTTGGGTTCTGAAGACTCAACGAAGTACGAAAAGGGGCTAGAGACAAAGTCGCCAGCTCAAAACACAAAACCCCTGATCTCTCGAATCCGCGACGCGCTCGATAAAACAGTATTTGGTGTCATACTCCGAATTATCACCAAAGAGGGTTTGCGTGCACTCTATGACGGACTCCGGGGAGAACTGTTCAAAGGCTTCCTAAGCCACGGCTTGACAATGGTGACAAAGGGACTCATTCATCGCCTTGTCATCCGGTTGTGGATTCTTTCACACCCGCAGCTGCGCAAACGGCTGCAATGAAAATGAGGAGTCCAGCGTGGTTTCTGATATATGCCAGCAACGCCCAAACGCATCTTGTAGCGAAACCCCCTTGGCCGGGGTACAATCCGTATTGCTGCTTCTTGAGAATCAACATTGAAATGCCACGCCAGATCGCTCCACGGTGTTGGAGCCTCGAGCGGAAAACCCTGTGCCCTCCGACTTCAGCAAGACCAGGCCAACTGGCAGTTTGCTAGTTGATGGGTCATGCTTTGCAGACTTGCCGGCTATAGGGGTCTCACATACATAGCACATGAGCGGTACTTCTTGTGCGGAAACTTCCTTGCTTGCGGGTATTAGAAACTTCTTGACGCAGCTTAGGCACAAAACATGGCCACATTGCTGAGCCATGACTGGGCTTGAGGAGTTGGATAGCGTTTTGAGACATGAGGGGCATGTCCATTGACCGCCCTTTGTAGACTGATCTCTGCCTTCTTGAAACTGGATAGTGACTAGCTTTTGCATTGAGATGGCGTGTGGATTGTCTTCCGTCGATGCAGGACATGTTGGTGTGGTCTTGGTTGCCTTATTTTCAGCGGGGAGCTTATTATCTTGGACGTCTGGCGTAAGAGATGGCGTCCAGAATGAAGGAAGTGATGGTTTGGCGGCCTGTGTATAAAGAAGAAGAAAAGAGAAAACAAAGTTAGCGATTGTCCACAGAGAAGGGGGGGTATAGCATATATAGGTTCTTTTTAATATGGGAATAAACAATTACCCGTTCATCCTCAATATCTTTCCTTGCTTTTGCTTTGTCTACTTTGGCTATGCGAATCAACTCATCTTCATCCAGGGTGAACTTGCGTTTAGCACCGGCACGGGCGGATTGTGCTTCTTGATCCCACGAATTGTCTTCATTCGAATGAATGCCCCCCTTGTTCGAGCCAGTCAGTCCCGCCTGGGTCAGCTCAAAATTAAGGACGGCCCTTTTTTGATCCTCATCATCGTCGGCGGCCTTTGCACGAAGCGCCTCATGCTGGGCCTCACGACGGGCTTTCTCGGCCCTCTTAAGCTCCTTCTTCTGGGCCAATAGATTGGCCAAGGCGCACTCGCGGCAAAAAATGTCGCCTAGTCGGCAGGCAACTGGGTCACGAGCAACCTCTAAGCAAAGGCCACAAGATCCGAAGGGGAGAAACGAGTCGCGATTCAGGCGAGCGGAACTGGAGGACCAATTGGCCTTGGCGAGAGCTCGCTCGTGCGAGGTAAAGACGGCACGAGAGGTGTTTCGTTTACCTGGAGCAATCAGCTTTCATCAGATTGTGTGCCATAGAATGCAACGTGTATGGAATCTCATATCCAGGTCGCCTTACTGTGTGACATGTTGGGAAGCGTGAAGGATGCTTCCTAGGAGAGCAAAGCACCAGGACCTTTGGGTGCACCAACTCACTGCGACAGATGGTTAAGCAGGCTACCAGTAGCAACAATAATGTGAACAGGCTGAGTTCTAGGTAACTAGTAGTGGCTTATGAACGGGCAAATCTCGAAAGCTACCGACTCTTTGGCTGGCGAATGCACTGGATTTGCCGAAGAATCGACTGGTTTGAAGTTTTCTGAATATTGCAAAGCAGCAGTCAGGAACTACGGTGCACAGGTCTGGCTATCTGCAAGTAGATTGACTTGTTCCACTGGTCCACCATCCATGGCTGGTGGCGGGCGCGCCTAGGTGCATCAAGTGATCCCTGCAGCACTTGAGCCTCTGAAGCTCCGGTAGACGCGCTCAAGTACAGACATGGAGGTCAACTAACTTACCTAAAGTACCCAGGGATGCGGGACCCGGTCAGCCAGGCATCAATTGATCCAAGTCGCTCGTCTCTCCATATGTTCTTGAGCCAACGTTGAAATTTCATCGTCGCGGCCAATTGTGCCCGCTTGAAGAAGTTGAACCCTTCCAACTACCTAAGTGCCTAGTAGATACCTCTAGGTACTTAGGTACGGAGTGCGTGGTTTTTCTTTTCTTTTTTTTCTTCGGTGTAGAGGGCCGAATTCACGATAAAGAGAAATATTTTCATAACAGCTCCGATCCTCCATGAGCTGTATAGCCCGCGAGGCAACGCGTGAGCCGACAAATGACTATTTTTTAAACCCCTTTTCACCAACCTCGTCGAAGCACAACCGAATTATATTATGTCTAGCCCGGCCCCGGCCACGCGCAGCAGCCTGCCATGGCGCCTTGGTTCGATGGCTATTATGGGCACTGTGGGTGTTTTATCTCGAGGCTTCTTATACGGACTCAACAATGTCGAGGTAATCGGGCTGGGCCATTTGCTTGAAGCCCTCGACCGTCGACGGACTCAAGGTCGGGAGCGAGGTCTCTTGACAGTATGCAATCATGTGGCTGTGTAAGTTAAAAGCACTCGAGTCTGCTTGAGTGTCGTCATTGCATTGTTTTCTCATAGCATACAACCTCTCTATTCATATACTGCTTGGTCGATCCTATGCATCTTTTATCCGCTAACGCAAGAGGGAATGCAGTCTCGATGACCCTCTAATATGGGGGATTTTGCCTTTCCGTTATACCGTCAACCCCGAAAATCTACGTTGGGGGCTGGGTGCGCATGACATATGCTTCAAAAACAAGTCAGTCGCTCCCGGCGCGTACTAACTCTTAGTGGGTGTTGGTGTTGTATTTTACATGCCAGCTTTGTTTGTGAAATTGGACCTATTGTTGACGCCGACGATTTCTGTCAGGCTCTCCTCAACCTTTTTCAGCCTTGGTCAAGTTCTACCTACCCGTCGACTCTGGCACTCACCACTCGGTGGCTTGTTCCAACCTACCATGACCCAGGCAATTGGCCTCCTATCAGGCCCCGGCCAATCAAGCTCCTTCAAGGACCTATCCTTCTCGACGGACGGGAAGGACTCTTTTCCTTCGCCGGCGGCATATTCTGCAAATCGTAATTCGTGGGTTCACGTATTCCCAGAAGCCTGTTGCCACCAGAGTCATGAGAGCACTTTACGCTATTTCAAATGGGGCATATCGCGGCTCATACTCGAAAGTGACCCGGCTCCAGAGTTCATCCCAATGTTCATTCATGGCACACAAGATATTATGCCAGAAGACAGGGGTTTTCCAAGGTTCCTGCCTCGCATTGGCAACAAGATACGTGTTGTCATCGGGAAACCAGCCAATGTTGACACTGTCTTTAGGCGCGAGCGAGAGAAATGGAAACAGCTCGTGGAGAAGGGTGATCCAGAGATTCTCACCCACGGCCATGAGGCTGTTCAGTTGAGAATCCAGGTCGCAAAGTCGGTACGAGACGAAGTTGCGAAACTGCGAGAAAGCATAGGCTTGCCGCCTGAGCAAGATGAAACAGCCGCTTTAGCTAGCACTTGGTCCAAGGAACCGAACAAACGAAAGTTCAAAAGCCCAGTCGATGGCAGCCTTGTAAATAGAGTCTAACAAGCATCCTCTAGATTTGACCTGTCTAGAAGAGTGTTGAGGAAATATTGATGCGCTGGAAATGTACGATTAGCATGCTGTATTATCCGTCCTCCGAGGATACTTTTAGAATAATTGCAACGCAACCTGATCTCAGTGGTATCACAGGCTTATTAGGTTCTAATTTATCTACTAATCCCTCGTGACTATGACGTGACTCGATGATGCAAAACTCGTTCTAACAGAATACTCGCTGTGACCCAGAATGAAAGACAAAGAAATGTCAAATGCCAAAAAAGTACAAAGAGCATGCCATCTCCCAAATCTAGTATGACACAAAAGGGAAAATTCAACGACCCCAAGACACCGTCGTCTCCGTTATTAACAATCATCAGGTTGCCGAGACAAAGAAAATCTCGAATTCTCCAAGGATCCATCCTGTTTCCATCGAAAGGAGAAGCCCTGCACCCCTAAGGGTGTAATGCGCCGCACAAAGGACTTTGGCGACAAATCTGCCCAGGAGTCAAGATGTGGTCCGAGCTTGTAGGGACCAAGTTGCTGCATTCTAGTAAGTATCGTAATTCTGCGCTGGTACACCTTGTTGGTAGGCCCTTGCCTGGGCGTGCAGTGCCTGCTGCTGCTGGTGTTGCTGTTGCTGTTGCTGATGCATGACCAAATCATTGAACCAAGGGTGTTGAAGAGCGTCGTGGGCACTAATTCGCAATTCAGGACGCAGTTGCAACATTCGCTGCAACAGATCGATCCCCACAGGGTCGATGGCTTGAAGGATGTTGCGGAGGTCCTGGGTGGCATACATTTGGAAGGTAGGCTTATAGTCTGGGAATTGTGCGATGCCGGGCCAAGTGCGCTCGGTGGGCGTGCCCATAATGCGAAATATCCTGACAATCTGGTCCTCGTTGGTAGTGCCTGGGAAGAGGGGGCGGCCAGTATACATCTCAGCCATGATGCACCCTGCGGACCATATGTCGATGCTGGTGTTATACGTCCTGCTGCCGAGCAAGACGTCGGGAGCGCGATACCACAGGGTGACGACTTCGTTGGAAAAGGTATTGACGGGGATGCCAAATGCTCGTGCCAGACCAAAATCTCCGAGTTTTAATAAGCCTTTGCTGTTTATGAGAAGGTTTTGAGGCTTTAGGTCGCGGTGCAGGACTCGGTTCTGGTGGCAAAAGTCGATGCCCTTTAGGAGCTGATACATAAAGCTCTTGATAGTGGCGGGCTTCAGAGCCCCTCGCTCGCCATGCATGTCCATGTATCGTTTGAGATCACCGTCCATATATTCGAAGACAAGCATGAGCTTGTTCTCTGTGTGGATGACGTCGTGTAAGGCGACAATGTTGTCATGTTTGAGCTCCTTCATGAGAGAGATCTCTCGAATTGCAGTCGACGGGGTTCCCTCCTCGGAGTCAAGATGTATTTCCTTGAGAGCGACGAGTTCTCCGGTCTGCCGATTCCTACCTTTGAATACCTAGATGCCATGGCTTCAGTCAGTTGATTCATCCGCTAGCTGATACATGTGCGCGCGAAGTGCGAGGCCGCAGATTGGTGGGTATACAAACAGTTGCATAGGTGCCTTCGCCCAGCTTCTCCAGCTGCTGGAATGAGCTGGGATGTCTTTTACCATCCATGATGTAAGAGTTTTAGCGTCGATGAGAAGAGAATCCCAGTCTTGTTGTGATATCAAGGAAGAATGGCAAGGCCAGTCGTGGTAACTCGTCGTCGGCGTAGTTCTTTGCCGTCAAGGGAGGACCTTAAACTCAATGTTGGGTACTACTAGCACTGCAGGGATAGCGAGGGCAATTACAGAAAGAGAGGGGTAGCGCCCCGCAAAGCCGATATGTACTGGCACGGAGTATAGTATTTGCGTCGCAAAGACCAGTGACATGCTCCAACTGAAGAACGCACCCCTCAGAGTGGGGTTCCTGGCCATCAGTCGACCGCGCAGATGCGGCAGCTCGTTCACGCAATGTGGTCCGTTGCTGATACCGTCAACTACCGCTCTAGAGGTGGACTCATGGATTGAACTCGCTTTCTCTCGAGTATGGTCCACTGGTAACGGATAAAATACGTCAGGTCTTGGGTCAACCCGTCCTCTGAAAGTTGCGGCTGACCCAACACTGAACCTCGAGATCCTTTTCGAAAGTTTCGCCGTCCCTCGAATCGAGCGCCTTGGCAGCGCCGTTGGCATTGCTTGACTATTAAGGGCTGGACCTGTAAGGTGCATCACCATCTAGGTTGAAAACATGAGGCCTCTGCCATCAACGATCACCAACTCGTCGAGTCGAGATCAGAACCATGACAACTGCGACACACTCTCGCAACCAACACCAGTAGCCTCAATGGATTGCTTTATTACCACAGAATCCAGTTTAACGGATAACGATTCTACCCAGGGCCGGGCTGAAGTCATTCCTACCGTCCATCAATATACATACACACAGAAACCAACCACCAACCACAATATGTACGAGCCCGACTGTCCCTGGTTGTTGCCTCAGCCCGCCCCAGTTCCATCATCTGCGGCATCTTCAAATGCTGGGCAAGGCAGGTCATTGCCTCCGACGTCGGTATTCGCCAGTAGCCATGGCCCGGGCTCGGCAAACAGCATTCCCTCGTCACCTGGAAATCTATCAAGCGTCGCCATGTCGGAAGATGGTCACAGTCTGTCCGCCAGTCTCTCTGAACTTCCCTCAAGTCACTCACCAGTCATGGGTACTTCACCAATTTTGCCGAGGGGCCTCACACCACAGCTTGTGATGCCTAGCTTGACTGTTCCTCAACGTCGCCCCTTCTCGGAAATTGGGAAATCGCTGGGGAAACTGAAGGTCCTTGTGACGGGACGTCGCGGTAGGTTTCCATCTTGCGCAGCAAAGGTTGCGGCGCCAAGCTAACGCTGAATGCAGGCATCGGAAAGACATCTCTCATCCTCGCTATAGCCCAATCGTCGGCACACATCGTTCACATGGATACGGTCGTTACAACTTCGAATAACATGGCCACTGATGTATATGCGAGCACCCGCCCAAAGCCCTGGTGGAGAACAGATCTAGATCATGACCTCTCCAGGAGAAGGCGGTCGTCAACTTCAGACCAAGTTTTGGATAGAAATATATGTTTTGTGGACTGCCCAGTTTACGGAAATGATGTTCAGGTACAGATTGCAACTTTCTTCACTAACGAAGCACCGTCTAATTTACATTCAGGGATCATCGCCTGCCGTCGATTACGTCGAGTCTCGGCTCGCTGAGTTGGCCCACAAGTCTATAAACGACCCAGATCTCCGCGCCCTATTAAGTGGAGGGGCAGAGTCGAATGTTGATGTGGTTCTCTATCTTCTCCCACATTCGGGTATGTTCCTTCTTTTACTCGTCGAGTAATCGCTGTTAAGCTAAAAGGCATGACAGGTCCCACCAGCGACGACATACGATGTATGAGAGATTTACAAAATGCCACAAATGTTATTCCACTGCTAGCGCGTGCGGATGAACTCTCTCTCGAAGAGCGTCTTTCAGCAAAGAACCGCACTTTGCGTGGCATCGATTCCGCAGGTCTGGATTGTTTCTTCTTCACTGCCCCGGGAGGAGCGCAGGATCACCCTCATATTTATGCAATCTCTAGTGCGACTCAAGCAGACGCTGAAATCATCGACGCCAGTATTCTCATGAGTTCGGACTATCTTCCACCTTTGGTTTCAACTGACCTTGGTAACCTGGTCAAGAACTTGTTGTCTGTGGAAGGGAGCACTTGGCTTCGCCATTCTGCAGCCTGCAAGGGCATCAAGTGGATGCGGCAACAAAGACATCGAGGCAGTTTACTGCCATCCGCGCTCACTTGTACGAAGTTGTCCCCTTTTTTTGGCCTTCCCCAAGTCCAATTTACAAACCAAACCCCCAATCAACGAGACCGGGGCCGAATCGAAGTGGCAAGCTGGGCTGAGGGGCTACGACAGAGTTTGGTCGCAGAGAGGTTACGACAACAGATTACGCAAAGCATGTCTCTAACCCGAAAACAGCTGGCTGTGACGAGACGTAGTCGATCATCTTCCAAGCCTTCACGGACCGTGGCTCCTTCAGTGACTACGGCCCATCAAGATCCTCTCGGCCTGTTAGAGATAGCGAGCCAACTACAAACTGGTGGCAAGTTGACATTGGAATTGATTAGCAGCTTCGGAATTCTTGGCTGTGTTGCAGCTTGGGTCATTCGGCCGGAACTGATGCATCAATGGGATATCAAATTCCCCCCCTGCCTGTGTTTGGCCTGAAACATCGGCCGTTGGCCAGCTTGCGTTCTATCAATGGCGCAGTCATTGAGAATCCCCTCAACGCAGCCATTAGCAAGGACCGTACAAGAGGTTATGAACTCCACGCTACCAATGTATGATAGTACTCATAATACCCCACAATGCGATGATTTGTTACCACAACATATTGTAATGTGTAAGATAATACTAGCTGGCAAATATATATCCAATTTCATGATTTCAACACCTCCAGTATCAATTAGACTATGAGAGGGCGCAACAGAGGCTGTGGCGCTATTGATTAATTTTTGCCTTGGTCATCCGAGACGATACCGACCGCTTCGAGAGCCGCGTCAAAATCAGGCAGGTCGTCGGCAGTCTTGGAGATGTGCCGCCAGCGCACCATTCCGGCTTCATCTACTGCAAACGCTCCGCTCTTTTGCCATCGACTTCCACTCTCGGTGGGACGGTTCCAGATGCCTTCATCGGCACCTAGGCGATAGACAGAGTACAAAGCCATGGGGTTAAATGCGTGCCAAGTGTTGGATAGTCCCAGCCCCCATTTTGCATATAGATCTCGACCTTCGTCGATAATTATGTCAGTATGCCAAGCACCTCCAACTTGGGGTATCCAACGCTCGGTTGCTTCAGGTGAGGAATGGGACACCGCAATGCAGTGGACATCCCTTTGCATTTCCGACACTGCTGTCAATGTTTTGAAAGTTTTCTCTGCAACTTTAGACCTATCGTCAGTCGTCCGTCTCACATACTCGACTTGCAAAAAGAATAGTCCATTTTCCGCCCCTTACTTCCCGGTGAGTGGTTGATTCCCGGAAGAATACAGAACGTTACAATTACGTGGGCGGAGACACAGTCTGGCAGCCACAAGATGACTTTGGCAGTTTGGGTGGAAAACTCACAGGGACAGCCACAGTGACGCAGGAAAAGTATTAATGTCTTTCGCCCATCTGGTAAAGCGAGTTCAGGCGCAGTCGGTGCGTTCTCCCCAACCTTTGGTTCTGGCGCGACGTCCTTGGATTCTGGCGACTTCATAGACTCTATTTCTGCCCAGAACCCTGACCTGGTCGCAGCTGGTTGGGAAGCTTGTTGTGAAGCCTGCTCGGGCATGGTAACTAGGCTAGACAGTAGTAGCGTTTGTCTGTTGGTTTTGAGGCTCTGTGGTCAAGATTCCTTGCGCTGGCCTGGATTTCTGTTCAGGATCCGCGTGTAAGTCGGCATGCATGCTAGGTTCATGTAAATTGAACTCTCGACCCTGTTTATGACGACATGCCACAGACATGGCGCTGCCAATGACGAGTATTAGGTAACCGGGCTCGCAGGCTACCCTGCAACTTGCTTGTGTACGCTAAAAATTCCAGAACTTCCAGACACCGTAGCGGTGGGGCATCGTCTACAGTAGTCACTTGGTTGTACAATGTACTACCCTGTAGGGATTGAACATTCTTTTTAGGCAAACTTGCTTGAGTAACGCAGCTGTTTCATCCGCGTGCGTCTTCGTCTGCTAGCTAATACCTGCCTTAGAACCCAGCATTCATCCGAACTTACATTTGGCGTAATGCGTGAGATCATCACTCTACAGTTGGGCAATCTCGCTAACTATACAGCCACCCACTTCTGGAACGCACAAGAGTCATATTTCACATATGCCGGACAGGAAGAGTCATTGGTGGACCACAACGTTCACTGGAGGGCTGGCTTAGGAGCTGATGGCACCGAAACCTTCCTTCCGCGAACTGTACTATACGACCTGAAAGGTGGTTTTGGATCCCTGAGGAAAATCAACCCGTTGTACGACGCAGCATCACACACGAACGTGGCTGCTGATTCACTATGGTAAGAATGGGAAAGACAATACGACGGGGCTACCAGACGGCTCATGCCCTCCCAGGAGGACAAACTCTTGTGCACCTGCTTACTCGTACGGTGTATTGCATATTCTAGGACGGGTCCGTCGACTGTACACCAGCAAAAGCTGGTCACGCCGAGTGCATATCAAGAAAGTCTGGATTCTGGAACGAAACATCCTCCACTTACGACGTCAACTGTAAGGTACTGGTCAGACTTCTCCAAATCGTACTTACACCCAAAGTCGCTCGTGCAGCTCTATGACTTCGAGCTAGATTCTGCAATACGTCCGTTCGAAAGATTCGACATGGGGACAGAATTATTCACGTCACTGGACAAAGAACAAGATATCCTCGATAGAGACTGGCGGCCATTTGTTGAGGAATGCGACCTAATGCAAGGTATGCAAGTCTTCACTACCATAGACGATGCATGGGGGGGATTTGCATCATCATATCTAGAGGCACTGCGGGATGAGTACCCCAAATCTTGTATCTGGGTCTGGGGAATTCAAAGCCCGTTGGCGGGCATCTCTAGAGAGAAGCGTCAGCTACGCCTATCAAACACGGCCCAAAGCCTCCAACAGGCGTATACACAAGCTTCAACGGTTGTGCCTCTGGCCCTGCCCGAAAGCCAACTACGGCCACACATAGAGTTGGATTGCAATTCTCCGTGGCATGTTTCGTCACTGCTTGCCACCGTTTCCGAGAGTGCCTTGCTTCCGTCCCGCTTGAAGGGGTGCAATGGCGCCTCCCTGGCTGACTGCGCCGAGAGTCTCAACACAAGCGGCAACCGGACTATTGCCAGCGCAGGAATGTTCATCCCGACAGACACCAGAGACGGTATGGATACAGGAGACAACTTGAGCTTTTTCCAAATTGGACAGGATAGCAGCAAAGTGAAGAATCGACCCGAACACATCTTTGGACAAATCATTTGCCATCGTGGGCCAAACACAGAGCAAGCGGAGCCAGAGGAGACGGCGGACACGAGACGACGTCAAATCCTTGGCAATTGTTTGACAAGAAAGTATGAAACACCGCATCCCCATTGAATGAATAGTGGTTGTTGGGTGAAGGCTTACCCAGCACTATAGCTACTTCACGAAGTTACAATTTCCTTTGCTAGACAGTTACCCACATATATACAGAGATGTAATCAACAGGCAGAGTATCCCCGTTCACACTGTTCTCAAGACGACTACGTCAATTTCGGCTCGAATGAAAGACCTGAGGTCCCAGGGAACTCGACTGATCCGATTAGACGAGCGTGAGGCACTTGGTAATAGCCTTGCTGAAATCGCCGATGCCTACCAAGATGACTGGTCAAGTGGCAGTGATGAGGACGATGACGAGTTGTGACTTCACGATAATAAGCCAAGACGGCTTGCAGTGGAGAGGAAACCGGGTTAAACACTAGATGTTTTTTTATCGTTTAGTGCGGCCACAGAATCAAGGGCTGGCTCTAAATACAGCTCTATCCTCGAGAGCTCTGGCATATCTATCGCTTTGGATCTAGCTGGTCCACACCCTGCGAAGTTTGGCGCGAAATATTATGCCACCAATCAAATTGGGCTAATATTACCCCGAGAATTTTTTTTTCATTAATTTGGTCGACACCGAAGTGCTCACCGTGACTTGGCAATGTGTTTTGTGCTGCTGACCCTTTCGTTCTTGTGTGTGCTGCTCGTTGTCGTACAGCGGAAGCTAAATTGAAGGCGGGATGCAGTATCTACCAGCTACCTGAGGAACCTGAGGAGTCGACGCCTAGAAACAAAGCCTGCAAGCTTTGATAATTTACGTACGTCAGCAGATAAAATCAAAGTGGGGGATCCAGCCGGGACCAAGTATTGCCATCAAACCCTTTTCAAGGTTCATGTTGGTTGGCGGGCCGGCTCGATTGTTATCCGTTGCCAACTTCTTTGAATGAGTTCGTAAACGGAGTACTGTGAAATTTGATATGGCACTCAGCCTGCAGCTGCAATAGAGGCCTGCTGTCGTTTTGCTGGAGGTGGGTTGTCCTAAGCGCAAGTTAGCCCAGGGCTACGGTCTTTGCAACTGTCGCGACAATGGTTACCTCTGAGGGGCCACGCTTCTTCGATGCTCCCTTGGCGCCCTTCTTCTGCGGTTTCTTTTCTCCAATATCGAATACATCGCTAGGAAGATTAAAACTTAATTGATAGCTTAGCATAGTCGCCGATATCTCAAAGTGAGGTCCAAAAGCTTACTTTCGGACGTGTTGTACGCCAATAGAAACAAGTGGTTTCAATTCTTCTTGATACTTCTGCCATTGCGTACACAGGACTTTAAACTCGTCAACTTGGTAGGAGAGATCAAGAGACTTGGCGGCTGCCATTCCATTAGATATTGTACAGCTAGTCTTGACCGGAAATCCAGTAGCATGAGGAAAACAAAATTGGAATTAAGGGCGTCACTTTGTATTCCAGCCTGGGGCCCGGGGGTTGGGGGTTGAAGAGATGAAACTTACCTTCGTCTAGTTCTAATCCGATGTAATGGGTTGTGGTAAAGACCTTCGTTGGTCGTTTAGATTCTGTGTCGCCATTTTCAGTTGCATCATGTCTTGGCTCTTCGGATTCGAGTTTTGCTGTAGCTTGGCAATCCTCATCACCCTTGATCAAAAAATCGAGACTGCCGTCCTGTACCTGTGCTATTTCAGAGTCGTCCTTACATTGATGTCGACGCTCGTATCCCTTGTTGAAAGCATGGGCCAAGGCGATGGAAGGATGTTGTTCCAATTTCTGTACTAACATGCGTACTTTGGACTCAACGTATCCTGACCAAACGTTATGTGCTTCCTTAGATTTGCTGGCAGATATGACGGAAATATAATACTTGTAATCTGAAGTAAAGAAAGTGTGTTTCACGAAAAGGTCGCTCCAAGGTCGCTTGCCGACCATAATGCTCTCTGAAATCTCTAAGCCTCTTCGAAGTTCTCGATTAATAATTGCCATAGAAGAGCGGCTAATATTAAACGTGGCACACATGGAGGGATATGCAGGAGTAATGACGGGCATCAGGTGGAATGAATCGCCTTTATAAATCTGAAATAACATAGATCAGCTGCAATGTTCATTTTTTCTCTTTTGACAAGGGGATGCGGAAGTATCCAAAAAAGCGTACCTTTGGGTTCCATAC